AAAGATAAGTTCAAATCCTTCCAGTTACGTTAGAGTTTACTAAGTGCTTTTGACAATCCCTTTTTTTTAACTGAAGAAAAGCAAAGAATGATAAACATAAAGAGGAATTGATAAAACAAGGAGGTAAAACCATTACCACTGTGCAATTATTCTATTGTTGTTAACTATGATTGTTTTTATTTAATTTAAGCAAAGTTAGTAAAACAGTTGCGGATATATATGAAGTGAAATTATTTTTCTAAAGAATGTAGAAAGACAGAAGAATATCTGACACATGTTGGGATGGTTAATAGTGATATTAACTGGTGAAAACCTGAGAGCATCATTGGTAGGGAATGTAATTGTTTAGTTAATAATACTAAAATTATTATGGATGTATATATAATAAATTGAGGTGTGTGTGTGCATGATGGCTCAGTGGTTAAAGCATGCATATGTGAATAGATAGATAGGTACCACTTTGGGAAGGTAACAGTGTTCTATGAGCCTGGACATATAGTCGTGCTGGCAACATAAGCACAGAAGTGTCTTCAGACAAAGCTGGCTCCCTCGGCTAAGAAATGAACATGAGCACTGCCCTCTAGAGCTGGACACAATTGGACAGGGGAAACCTTTACCTATACCTTTTATGTAATAAAGAAATTGGAAAAAATATTTCAGGTGCAATACAAGATGTTGTATTTTTAAAATCCTTAGTGGAGGAATGGGAACTGATGGCCCAACATGTTATCTAAACCAGGGGTCCCCAACCTATGGGCCGCAGCCCATAGTGGGCCCCGACCTCCTGGCCACCAGGCTATGGGACAGGTTGGCCAGTGTGCGCGCGTGTGCACACTCCCTCACTTGTGCTAGTGCGTGGCCATGGGGCATGAAAACGGGCTGTTGCTGTGTCTCGGCATGAAAATGGGCCGCCGTCAAGCCTTGGAGTGCAGAAATGGGCCGCCGCCGCACCTTGGGGCATAAAATGGGATGCCCCGCTGCCACGCCTTGGCCACAAAAATGGGCCACTGTGCCTTGGGGTGCAAAAACGGAACATCGCCACCACGCCTTGGGGCTGCGAAAACAGGCTGCCACTGTGCCTCAGGGTGCAAAAATGGTATGCCACCACCGCGCCTCAGGGTGCAAAAAGAGTACGCTGCCACTGCGACTCGGCCACGAAAACAGGCCGCCGCCGTGCCTCGGGGTGTGAAAACAGACCACCGCACCTCAGGGGTGAAAATGGGCTGCCGCCACGCTGCAAGGTGCAAAAATGGACGCCTCCATGCCACGGGGCATGGAAACAGGCCACCGCCATGCCGCAGGGCACAAAAACAGGCTGCCGCTGCACTACAGAGGCGCAAAAATGGGCCGCCTGATAGCGCATCCTATCGGTGCCCAAGAAAGAGCCAACAAACAGGAACGAGCGACGACCGGATGGCTTTTAATCCACACAGCAACAGAGTTAGTACTGGGAGTGAGTTGCTCCCAGTGCTTTACATAGGGTTCCGCGCGCTAGTCCCACCCCTACCCCACAAGCCAGCATCCGGTCTGTGGGGAACAAAACCAATTAGCAGGGGCGTCACGCCCCGTTCCGGCCGGCGCGGCTTCCAGTCCTTCTACGGCGTTCCAGGAACATAGCAAGGTGAGCTCCCTTCCCCATCGCTGCCATCTCCCGTCGCGCTCTCCTTCCCCTCGTATGCTCTGGCCGCCTGACTGTCTGGACCAGCAAGGTGCTGGTCCGTAGGTGTGAGTTGCTGCACCGGGGTTCTTCCGTTGGACCGGCAAGATGCCGGTCCGTGGGTGTCGCCCGCTATGAGTCCGTGAGCCTCAGGCAGCTAGAGACAGCTGCGCTCACGTCCCCGTGCAGCTGGCAGTTAGCAAAGTTCCCCCCTCTCGGCCGAGAGTGCTCCACAGTGCGGCACCAAAACCCCGGCGTCCTTCAGGCCTGTGTCATTCTGGCCTGCGCCCATCAGCTGAGAGAAGGCTCGGTGGGAACAACAGCAGCAGGGCAGTCGCCCCCCCCACCGGCATGTGTTGACCCCGCGGGGTGTTCGGTGATGGTCTGCGGGGTGTTGGCACAGTAGCTAGCATCCCAGCCGCCCGTACATGTTCGTCCCACAGGGCTCGACACCGCCACTGTGCTGCAAGGTGCAAAAATGCCTGCTGCAGTGCCACAGGGCACGGAAACAAGGCACTGCACCACACAAGAAAGGGGCAGTGCTAGTATTACGTGGGCACTAGCCCCGCCCCATTTGTGACGCATGCGTGCTCGCGGCCCCGCACGCATGCACACATGTAAAATGCTTCACCCCTGATCTAAACTACAATATTCAATATTCCTCATATCAGATTTTTTTTTATCAGAGGTGTAATTCTATAAATACTGAAAGGCTAAAAACAAAGGATTCTATCACTACCTTTGTGGCACAGGGCTAATTTTTAATGAGTGTTCTCTACTAAAATAATCCTGCCTAGTAATTATATCTGTATAGAAGCTTTATAGGATAGAAGAATGCTTTCCTGTTTTTATCCCATAATCATCATCTTCCTAGTGTTATTCCCATAGGTGCAGGGTCTGCTTTTCGGATTGACAAATGCCATCTTGCACAATCAAATGCAGCATCCGGGCCATGTCTACATTTTTGACACATATGGCTGTAGATCTACCGTATTGGTTGCACAAAAAACTGACCAACCGGCTTATCACCTGGACCTACGGTGGTTTGGTCTGTGTTCAGCTCAATATCACCCTGGCGGGCAGGCAGTATCCAGCAGCACCACTAGGAGGAGTAGACCTCACCACCATGATGACCCAACGTGTGAAATATAGTTGTTCCAGAATTAAGTTTAGCTCTCATTCTCTTAGCTTTTAGGAAAAGTGTCAAGATCTGTCAAGAACAGTATGCTGATGATTGTCAGCATTCTTAGATGGGGTTGCACTTCTCCATTTGAACTGGTGTGCAGCTTGGGGTCCTCCTGGACTTGCAACTACCGCTTGACAGATAGATGCCAGTGGTGACCAGGAGGATCTTTGCATGAGTTCATGTGTGCCAGTTGCTCTCTTTTTTTTTAACAGACAGTTCAGATCAATCATGCCCTGGTGAACTTATAATTGCAACATGCTGGCTATGGGAATGTCATAAGAGGCCCTTGTCATTACATCACGTATCATTGCTGTTATGTGAACTGTATTTGTAGCTAGCCAATTTCTGGGTGCAATTCCAGGTGCTGATTATCACCTTTAAAGCCTTTCAAGGCACAGGGCTTGGTTATCTGAGGGACCATATATCTATCTATCCCAATTGTTCCAGATCCATTCAATTAAACATTGTCATTGCAAGGGATCAAGGAAGTACGCCTACTCTGTTGCTGCCCCTCCCTTCTGTAATAGCATTTCTCCCAAAGATGAATGTGCCATCCACTCTCCTGGGGCTCTTAAAAAAACATCTAAAGAATGCAGTTGAACAGCCCCAATATGCACCATAGAGTTTGAGGCTAGATGCATGTTTTTTTTTCTTTGCTCTTTTTAAAAAAAAAATAATTAGTCCAATACATTTTTTTAAATAGCTAAGCAAAACATACTGTGTACGTTGGAATTGGGATGTCTGAAATGATCACGGCAGTATAGTTTACGTCAACTTCCAAATGCTGTTCAGATGCAGAAGTTCCAAGCAGCTTATCTACAGTATTGGTTCCTGCAAAGTAACCCTGGCCTAGGACAACTCACTTTCACAAAGTAAGAAAATATTCTCTTCATCAATACAGACATATTAATGAATGATTTCCCACAAGGCAAATCAATTAGAAACTAATTCTGTTGCAGTCCAAAAATAAGTTGTGGGCCATTTAAAATAATAAACCTACCTGTCCAGAAAAAAATTATGACATTTCATATAAGCACCATTGTACATGGATATCTTGCTATCTATTCCACAGGAAACTATGACCTACCTTCAATCATATTCCTTCCATGTTTTAGACAATGCCTTCATTGACTGGCATCCACCATAAAACGTTTCTATTTTATGTAGAGCGTGAAGAGTATTGCAAAACTTGACAGATAAATAGTATTCAAACAGAGGAGCACTTGCCACATAATACTCCAGACCCCAATTGTTAAGCTGCAGGACTACTGGGAAAACAGTTACCTACACAAATATAGGAAGATTGAAATAAAAAATGATATTTTATTATAAATCAAGTTCAATAATAAGAGGATATCTGGAAAGAATACACCAGTTCTGGAAAGAACTACATTCAGAATTAGAAATAACAGAATGGAGGCTAGTAGATCAATGCTGATGTCTTACATCCTACAACAATGCCTTTACATATCATTAAACAACATCTCCTATCCCAAATCCTTAGGAAGAACTCAATCGATGTATAAAAATGCCAAATGCAGTTTAAACATCTGGCTGATTGTGCAACGAACTGTAATAATAAAGGTAATAAAGCATAAAGAACTGGAGCTATGTTTTAAAATCTTCTAATTGATAAATTATCTCCCTCAAGCTTTCTGGCAAGGAGCTAAGCCTAGGCTGTCACCTTTATGTCTCGGATCATATTCACTTAGATCCATATTCCAAATAAACTGAAGACTAGTTACTAACTTCAGCAAGGCAGGTCGCAGCCTGTTGCAAACCACCTAAGCGGGAACATTCCTCTGCTGGAGTCTGTATTTTCGTCTCTGACTCAACCCATCAGACTGCTCCTTCTAGCAATCCAGCATCTTTCCCCCTAAACTGCTGGGCTTGCCCTGGACCTCTTGAAAATTTACGACTTCTTTCTGTTTTGCCAAATCTCCGGAGCGAGAGAGCGGGCTTCGTGGACCGGAAAGGCACAATACAAAACCCCGCCGGCCCTACCTTCTCTCCAGCTCCCTCTCCCCGGCCTTTCCACTTGGAGGGTGAGAAAGGCTCGTGGGCATAAAGGCCCGTCCTCATTTCGGCAGGAGCCTCCGAGTGGAATAGGAGGGGCGGAGGAGGAGAGCTGTGCCTTTGGAGAAGGCGCCGCTCCTGTTTCGACGCAAGGAGCTGCTTTCACTTCCCGAATTTTCCCGATTAGCCCGAAAAGGCAGGGAGGCGCCGCGAGTGCAGCGGAGCACCGTTGTCTCCAGCTCGGCTGCGCGGTTCCCCAGAAGGAAGATGCGGCTCTTACTGGAAGTTGTTCCCGCTACCCGGAGGAACTCTTGGCTGTTTCCCATCCTCCCTGTCATTTGGGGCTTCGTGATTGCTTCCTCGTTTGTTAACGCTGGGTAGGAAAAAAAAAATGGGGGCGCGGGGAGGGTTAGCAGACAATCAAGGACTGAGCAGGGGAATTACGGAGGGAGGGGAGAAAATGAGGGGATTTGGGGGTATTGTGTTCTCCACGGGAGGCCTAAATTTGCATTTTGCTAATCTGGACCAAAATGCAGAGCTTTAGGCGCTGAATTAAAGTTGCCCAATTACTTAATTTTCTGGATGCAGATGATGCAGGCATGGATGGATATGGGGCCAGAAGCCTGGGGAAAGATCCTTATGGAGACATTATTTTTCTTTTAATTATTGGAGGAAAACTTCCTTCCTTATGCTTCCATATCGTTAGCTCAGTATAACTCAGAGGGGTCTCGGTTGCTTAAGTTTTAATCATTTCCTAATCCAGCACTGTATAAGGATACAAACAAGTCCCCCCCCCCATATATAGTACAATCTTCCTCTGCTTTCATTTTGCTCACCCCCCCTCAAGAAACTCTTAATTAAAAATGGCATAGCTGATGAGAGAAAGTCGCAATTGTTGCGGAGTTGCCTTAGCTCCCTGAAAGTTCTAGTTCATATAGATAGCAATAGCAAATTCTAATATTACATATTTCAACAACAACTGTCAGTAAGTATCAAGACTTTTATTTCTTTTTGTGATTTCTAGACCAACATACCTGTTGGCAGTTCCTAAAATGATCCAGCCTGGAGCAAATCTAACTATCGGAGTTTGGCTCTTAAAGGAAAACCCTTCAAGCATTAGAATACAAGCGCAAGTACTCTTGGCAAATAAATCCATATTACAAGGAGAAGCAGTCTTTCAAAGAGGTGAGATGGTTGCCTTGACTTGGAATGCAATGAGATTTATTTATTTTATTTATTAAATGTACATGTCACCTATCTCACTATCCAAGGTGATTCAAAGTTTCTTTGTGTCAGTAATTAACTTCTATGATTACAGTCCTAAACATGTTTATTTAATTCTCACCGTATTCCAAATGTATTATTCGTGCTTAGGATGGCAGACAAAGATGGCAGTTAGATGGGGTCTTGTTGAAATAACTGTGCATAGCAATTTGAGTTAAAAAATGTTCACAAATGCTCTAAGGTATGGGGGTGTAATCTATATGGGATTATAAATATAGTTATTTGCTGAGCTACTAGCAGTTTATACATATTAGGTCTTGAATTCCAAAGGAAGAGAAAGCTATACATTATCTTCGCCTCCTTCCTTGACTTTGTTGCATGAGGAATCATTCCTATAGTACCTGCCTGTGAAATAAAGTCAGAATATGCTTTTGCATGATCTTTCTACAAGTCCCCTTTCAAAATAATTTATATAGGGTGGTTACCAATCCCATCAGGTCAGGGCAGCATGTCCATGGTTTAGTTTTCATCTTAATGAAAATCCCCCCCCCCCAATCTGAGTATGCTTAGAACAACTCAAGAATAAAGATGGATATGTAGTTAAGTAGAGATGTATGAACATAGTTTCTACTCTATTGTGCAGTGTTGCTAGCCATATATAATAAATGGCTAATGGTAGAAGTGGCTTTATAAACTTCCTTCCCCCCCTTCCTTCCCCCCTCCCCCCATGCATTTCAGTGAGAGCAGATCACATATTATCTTTCGCAATAATATCTCTTTTAAAAGAAATATGGCTTGATTAGTATGCAGTTGATGCTTTCAAAGAATTAAATGGAGGAACACCTATTATGAGTGTTATTAAAGATGAAGCTGCTGTTCCTCTACTGATTGATTTACACAAAGGAAGAGTGCTAACTTTCAGAAGCATTGGCTTTTGCTAAGAATCTTTATCTCTTGTATCAACCTAATGCTTTTCAGAAACTAAGTATGTGTGTGGGCGTGTTGTATTGCATTTCCTCAAGAGAAGAAGAAATGTAATGTTTTTATAACATGAACACAACTTTAGAGGCAAGATTTATGACCTCTTGGCAACAAATGAATAGCTGCTTTGTGAGCTATTTCCAAATAAGTCAGTCATTCAAATACATTTTGAAAATAGTATTAACTTATTTTCCAAAACCATAGCAAAGAATGGTAGCCTTGCAACGTATGAGAGTTTCCATATACAAAGGAAATTACTGGGAACAGATCAAATCGGGGAAAAAATCAGTGTCCAACTGGATATAAAATTGTCTTAGGGTCTTTCCCATTTGTTTCTAACACATCTTGGCAACTTCCTTTTCCTGTTGGGTCTCCCTTGTTTAAGATGAAGTTGTACTATGTACCTTTTGAGAAATTGATCCCAGGAATGAAAATCAGACCTGACCAACGATTAGTGAAGCAGGTTTTATAATAAAAAGGAAATTTGTTTAAGAAAATCAGAGGTTGTTAACAACATTACAAGTTGTTCTCAATTAACAAAGGAAATTGGCACTGGAATTTCTGTCACCATGCGATATGGTTATAAAGTCATCACAGGACTACATCACTTAGTGATGATAATCCAGAAGTTTCTGTTGTTGTCTTTAAGCGAGGCTCACAGGTCTTTAAGTGAGGACTTCTGTGCAATTTCTTGCCAACTTCCAATAAGCAAAATCAGTGGGGAGGCCAGCAGGAAGTTGCAAGCCCCAGGCAGTTTGCAAGTAGGCTAATCAGCAGTAAGTGGTGGGGGAGGGTATGTGAAGGTGCATGGGTTGTTCGTGTGGTGCAAGTGTAGTGGCGTTGGGGTGGCTGCTACAGGGTTTAGGAGGGTACAGAAGGGGCTGGTGTAAATGTGGCAGGGCTGGAGGTGACTGCCGCAGGGTTTGAGTGACTTACCAGTGACTTGCAATCTTTCCTACCGTCTTCCTTATTTACTTTGCTTGTGCTGCAACTTTGAGGGTTGGTTGTAAGGACCACTCATTCAGTGCCATTGTTACCTTGAATAGTGGCTGAACGAGTGGTCATTAACCAATGATTACCTGCAACAGAGGAAGTCTGTTCTTTTTCCCTTCTCCACCTCACATTTCCCCCCTTTTCCTCCCCACTGTGTCTTACTATTTGCTTTTGTATTTTTGTATTTTATTCTATAATCTAATAAAATATTACAAACTGTAGAAAAAAAGGAAAAAAAGTACCAGTTTTAATTTCTTCAGTGGCTGTTCCTTTGCTGAATCACTTTCCTTTTACACTGACAAATGTATGATAAATTTATTCATGTTTATTAATATGCACCACTACCAGCTAGATCAGGGATCTTCAAACTTGGCACTTTTAAGACTTGTGGACCAACTCCCAGTATTCCTCAGCCATCATGGCTGATTGAGGAATTCTGGGAGTTGAAGTCCACAGGTCTTAAAGCTGCTAAATTTGTAGACCCCTGAGCTAGCTGGTCGGCCCTTCTTCCTCTCTCCCTTCTGAACTCTTTGCACAGTGTAGTAAGAATGCATCCCCCCAAACTCCTTCCCTGTACCCTTAAAGACACAGGAATCAAGTGCAAAGCAAGAAAGGCTCACAAAATAAAGAAACACATTAACTCCGGGTTTTTTTTTCTTTAAGCTGCCTCAGGTGTGTCAAGGTGTCACAATGTTGCAAATCGAGACTGAAAGGCTCCGTCAATTGCAAAAAGCTCTAGCTTTAAATTAAGCCTGTTTACCTTCAAAGATAACTTTCTAAAAGTCATAGACAGACTCAGTTAAAGGGGATAAAACTAATTACATTTGTTTAAAGGGATTAAACCTTTCCCTGTTGTCTTTTTTTTCCCCCTTTCCCGCCCAAACCACCTCCTTTTATAGCCTCTCCTCTCCCCCCTTTTTCTTCAGTTCACCTCCAGCTCCGAGCTGCTTTGGGAAACGCCAATCAGCTGGAGCCCTGCTGGCTCCTGGGGCTTCTGCCAAGCCCAGACAGTCCTGTAGCTGCAGCTGCTTCTCCCTCAGGCTTGGGTTGCTTTGGCTCATTCTCCTCCCCTGCTACACTTCTCTAGGATGGTCGCGTACCACCTGCCATGTGGCAAAGTACCACAGGTGGTACGCGTACTACCGGTTGAAAAGCCCTGACCTAGATAATAAAAGTTTTTTTGATATTTTGAGCCCAATTTCCTCTTTAGAAATGAATGATATTTATAAGTGCAATGCCAAATTTTGAATGTGAATTCACTAGCATCTGACCAGTGCTGAGGTTTAGGCTGGATCTTAGTCTCTCAGTTAAGGACTCCATAGGCCAATTGTTGGGTTCAAATATTATCCAAACCGTGGAAGATAATGGGGTTGCAGAGATAAAATCTGGACCAAATGAGTTAGTAGAAGCCCACAATAGCTGGTTCAATCGCATTTCTTCCTCATTTCAAAATGTTAGTTTCAGATATATAAACCTATATATCCTCTTCTTTTAGTATTAACTCACAGAATAATCTTTGCCTTCAAATTTGCAATTGAAAGTCTCTGATAGATTATTTATTTTGTTAGATTTATATTATGCCTTTTGTTCAGGACTTCCATGTAATATACATAACACTCTATCTTCCCATTTTTTTTCCTCACAACACCTTGTGAGGCAGGCTGGCTTGAGAAGGGGCAAATAGCCTAAAGTTACAGTGAACTTCTGTGACTGGCTTGGGCTTCTCTCTTGCCATTGCACCACCTTAGTCTCTATGAAATATGGAATAGGATGCTTCTGAGGCATTGGGCAGAAATTTATTTTTATTACCAGAAATAGGGCTTTTACACAATTGGTATTTTTTCCCACAGAAATTAACTAAATTTCAAAAGCCTAATTTTTCAGTGGAAAATAGCCTTATTGCTGTGTCACTAGTGTTTAGTCATCTGGATCCAGGAGTATTAGATCTTTTTCACACCACTAGTTAAAAAGAAAAGCCAGGAGCACCTGATCAAGAGGCAAACCTCTAATGACAGAAAATTGGCTGTGTTTCAGTTAGGTTTTTTTTAGTCTCTCACAGAAAGTTCTTGTGGAGCCCTAGGATTTCATGGAACAGAGCCTAATCCCGAGGCTGATCTACTGTACCTTCACAAAAATCTACCAGTGAATTGACCCTTTGTTGGACCCTGATAAATTGTTAATCTTTTTATCTAATTAATATAAGGTACTGTAGGGTTTTCAAAAATCTATGGTATGACCTTTTTGTACTTTTTCATTTTGAAAATCCTATAGTACCTTATATTGATTTTGTACAATAAATGAATTAAACGTACGGTATCCATGTTTATATGTACAGTATATGTGTATATATTTTGAAGGGTTCTGGAACAAAGGGAAATTATTTAGTCTAACTGTTGCTTTCTTGCTTTTTGTAATCGGCTTTTGCACCAGGGAAATCTCATGCAAGCGTGGGAAACATGTACATGGATGCAGTGTACTGAAGATGGGAATAAGGGAGTGTAGAGGAATGATTGATGTCTTCCTTATGATGTAATGGCTCTGTTGTTTGATTTTCATTGTCTTAACAAGGTTTATAAAGCAATGCTACTAACTTTCTAAGGTGTGGATGTAACTCTGCCAGTGTTCCAAATTGTTTGCTACCCAGATGCTTAATTTGATCAAATAAATTGACCAAGAAGTCTCCGCTTCGGTTATCTGATTAGATTGATATGGTATCTCAAGTTCAAGTAAGGGACTGGGATCTTACAATTGAATATAATTTATTACATTTCTGAGATCCATTTTTCAAAAAAATTCAATTTTTGTTAATGATTTGGCTTAATTTATTTCCCTCATATTTCCTATTAATATTAATTACTACAATTCATATAAATTTTCATCTTGGCTTTAGTCTTTTATAGAGTATGGCTTCTGGTATGCGTATGTGTGAACATAGGTGTAGCTTATTTACACATTTATTGGAGACGGAGGAATCTGTATGAGGGACTGACACTGCAGATAGGGTTAGATTGATAAAGGCAAAAGATGGACACTGCCGTTTTTTTTCCTGCTGTGGCTTCTATGTTTTATTACATTCCCAGTTTTATTATATCCCAAATTGGCTCAGTTGGTTACTCTCACCGTCCAAACATAATCATAGTTCAGTTTTCAGTCTATTTATGTTCAATGTTCTCTTATACAGCAAAGAATTTTAAAGTTGAATTTTATTGAAGAGGAATTGTGGGGGGGGGGGGGGGGAAGGG